GGTATGTTTTGTGTCCTAGCACATGGTCTATTTTGGAAAATGTTCCGTGCGCGCTGGAGAAGAATGTGTATTCTTTCTTTTTGGGGTGTAAAGCCCTGTATAAGTCCTTAAGCCCTTTCTCTTCTATTACTTCTTTCAAAGCCAATAATTCCTTGCTGGGTTTTGTTCTTGTTGATCTATCCAGAGGTGATAAGGCGATGTTGAAGTCTCCAAGTACTATTGTGTTGGTAGTGATGTCCTCCTTAAAATTGGTAAGTAGGCTCAAGTATAATTGTTGGGCTTGTTTCATTTATCTGCTCAAAGAATGTAGATTTCCAGGGAAGGCTGAATAATTGGGGTAGGGGGACAATGAGGGTACTAAACCAGGTTAGTTTGTGAACCTCCGTTCTGGAGTCTGGATCCAGACAGATGTGCTGTTTGTAGAGACTGTGAGACACTGGGCTCTCCGAGAAGTACCAATTGATGATCCTGGCTGTGTCTTCACTCAGGGCAAGAATCCTTCCTACCAGGCGGGCTTACAGAGACAAGGGAGGGCCAAAACCATTGCCGTTCTGCATGTCCCCTCTGAGGCCGGCTTCCGCCAGCTCTGCCTAGCAGGAACCCGCCCTGCAGCCAAACCAGACAACACGATACTCCCGACACCCAGACCCAGAACAATGGTCCCTTTGTGCCTTGGGTCCTCCTGACTCCTCTTACCACGCTGCGTTTTCGTTTTACTTCTTCTCTTAGAGGGCTGCTGATGCTTGTCTGGCGATTCATTTAGATCCCAGCTGTCTGCCTCTGGAACCCACCCCATCCGCCACCACAGCATTTAGGGAACAGTGAACATTTCATAAAAGCAGAGCGACCGAAGCGAAGGACCAGTGAGAGGAGTGTCTTTGGCGGCCGTGTGTTCGCGGCCAGGAAAAGCAAGTGCTTTGGCTTTCTCTGCGCCGTGCCCTCGTCTGCCACTAGCCAGTGGGAGTTTATTTCATCCCAAACCCAGTCTTCCAAAGCCCCCACACAGACCCAGCATTCAGAACACTTCCTGGTAGGAAACTCTACCTCATCATCCTTTTATGGGTGCCCGCGGTGAGCTTTCACCTTTGGGAGAGGTTAGGTGTTGATCATAGAAAGTCACACCCTCCAGTGAGGGTGGCACTGAACAGTCACCCGCCACCCACTGCCAGGTTTTGGTCAACCAGAAACACCCTCACCCTTTTTTCTTTTGTCTTGGGCCAGTTTCTTTCTTGGATGGGCCGGCCAGCTAGGGTCAAGATCGAACTTATCTGGTTGTGTTAGGAAGAGGCTCTAGAAGGAGGCGCAGTTAAGCGTAGAGGGGCCAGTGATCCAAGTGTCAGGTCTTCCTTGTGTGGACATATCCCTAGGTTTGGGATCAAAGCTAAGAGTGAAGTGGTCAGTTCTGGCATTGTTCCATGAGGATGCTACTAGCAGAGGGACAGGGCCAGCCTGGCCTTCCTCCTGCATGCTACCAGCCTGGGCACCTGGCTGAGAAGCTGATGGCTGCAGTCCTGCCTCTGTGGGAATCCCAGAGAGCTCTTTCTTTCTCCTGGGCCTCCAGTGCCGATGAAATCTGGAGCCACGCGAACAAGAGTGTACAAAGACTGGTACCATTGCTTTCCTGCAGGGGCTGGTGGCGCCTCAGAGACCATGTCTGGAGTCGTTTGTGGTTGTCACTGCTGCAGAGATGAGGCAATGGTACCCAGTGGGTGGAGACCAAGGCTGTGATTGAACACCCCACCATGCGCAGCACAGCCAAGGATGTCATACTGGCCATGGAGGTCAGTCCTGTTGAGGCCAAGAAACGCTGCCTATTAAAAAAAGATAAATAGGGAACCCCCGCCCCCCCCCCCCCCGCCCCTGGCCACAGCATTAGCACTCAGAGGTGCCACCATACATGGAGTGCCTCGTTCCTGTGTCTCAGTCATGGAGATGTCAGTTGGAAACCCCTTCTCTGTGTGTCTGGAGTCTCGCAGGGAGATTAAGAATGCTAAAGGATTTTTTTTATCAGTGTTTTGTGTGTTTCTGAAAGGTCAAGAGTTGTCAGAGGGGAGAAAGCACTTCATGAAAATTGTACTTGAAATTATCCCAAGTAGCTTTTCAAAACTAATTTCATTAAATTCAGTGGTGCAAATAGCCACATGGGTTGTTTTTTCATTTTTTTTTTTAATCTAAGGGTAAGGCTTAGGGGGAGGGGGTAGCCAGCCAAAATCATCATGAAGCCACTACTGTCTGGCTGTGCTCGTTATCTTGGGGAGCTTTTTTGATTTTGCAAGTGTAAGGAATGGTGTCCTGGAATTTGCATGTGTGTGTGTGTGTGTGTGTGTGTGTATGTGAGTGTGTGTCTATGCGTGTGTGAGCACATGTGTGCATGTGAATATGTGTGTAAGTATATGTGTGTATGTATGTGTGTGTGTGAGAGAGAGAGAGAAAGAAAGAGAGAGAGAGAGAGAGAGAGAGTGTAGTTGTACTGGGGCCTTGGACTCTTCATGGGCTCGGAGGGTCCTTGTGTGTTGGTGCCCTGCCTGCCCTGTGTGTGTCTTTCCCTCCAGGAAGGATGAAGAGTGGGTATTGTGATGTCACCTGCGGCTGACAGGGAAGACAGAAACCCTGTCAGATCACCAGGTCCCTCAGGGGTCAAGGGGCAGAGGCGAGTCCTCCAGAAGGATGCGGAGCACCTGGACGTGAATGAAGGCAAAGCAGCTTAAGCATGAAACACAAAAGGAAGACTTTCTGGTCTTCTTTGCATGTCCTTTCTTTTTTAGCAGAATTGAATCAATGAATTTGGTTTTATGAGTTTCCCAGACACGAAGGGTGGGGGTGGGGGAATGGGGGGAGAATCCAACTTGGCAGGAATGGGGTGGGGGTGGGAGGAGAAGAGATCTAAATGAAATACAACAGTTGTCTGCAGTTTCACTGCTGACAAAAACCAAGTAATTTTCCCTGAGAAGCATGTGGGCCGTGTCAGGCAGGAGGAACAATCAGCCTGCTGTGACGTCAGGGCTTGCGGGCAGCACCTGGTAGACGGGAGTCCTTCCTGAATGCTTTCTGGCTTCTCTGCACGGGCTTAGTGCACGTTCTCTGCTTCCCACCCGGGAAGTTCAGTGGAGATTTCTCCAGCCCCCTGTTTCTGGCCATGAGACTTCTCAGTCGCCCATCTCTCCTGGCCAGTCTGAACTCTGACCGCCTGCCCGGTCCTGGCCCTGACTGTCGTCGCCATCCCCCCATCTCTGCGCCTGCTCCAACGAATGCAAACTGTGCCGTTGGAAACCACAGAAATCCGTTCTCTTTCCATCTAGAAATCTCACTGGAGCCCCAAATCTGAGAGTTCCAGAAGGGTTTTTCCCTATCTCTTTGTGTTCCTGGAGGCTCCTGGCAATCCTTGACTGGCCAACTCTAGTCTCCTCTTTGGGTGGGGCTTGCTGATCAGACCGAAATGCCCTGAACCGAGGACTTACAGACATCAGCCGTTTCTCCCAGGTCTTGTGGGGAAGACCCGAGACCCAGATCACGGGGCCCGGATGCCCCGTGAGGGTCCTTTGCCCTTGTGGCGATGCGGCAGGACCTTGGAGACAGGAATAATGGCCCTGGGCAGTGCCCCTCTCACCACCCGCTCCCTCCCCCAAGACCCAGCTTGTCAGGGGCTCGGGTTCAATAGATGATAAAGCAGAGGTGGCACTCTCCGGCTTAGTCTGCTTCCCGCCCTGCTGTCAGGTGTCCGAGCCTTGTCCTCTGCTCCGTGGCTTATGGGTACTCGTCAAAGGATTTAGGGTCTTCCCTGATAATCCAGGATAAGCTCATCTGGATAAGCCTTAATTTATCCTTAATTTTCAATACCTGCAAATACTGGGGCTGGAGCCATAGCACAGCTGGTAGGGCGTTTGCCTTGCACGTGGCTGACCTGGGTTCTATTCCCAGCATCCCGTATGGTCCCCTGAGCACCGCCAGGATTAATTCCTGAGTGCAGAGCCAGGAGCAACCCCTGTTGCAATCGCCAGGTGTGACCCCTCCCCCCCAAAAAAAAACCTTGCAAATACCTTTAAAAAGAAAACACCCAAGTAAGATTATTTTTGCACATTCTTGACTTCTCTTTGGGGGGAACAGCTACTCAACCCAGAAGACTGTCATCTTTCTCTGTCTGTATTTCTTCCACCGCCCTTCTTCACCCCCGGCCCTGCACAGGGCTGAGCTGGTATGAATGCTGAGTAGTCACTAATAAATGCATATTGATTTGAAAGTATGACCCTATTTTAAAGTGACCTAAATTAATGACTGGGCTAATTACCCCTCCTTGTTTTGAAGATGTTCTATCATTTCCTCTTAACGAGCACATGGATATACAGATACCTCAGTTTCACCAAGTAAATGTATGGCTTCATCCTGAAGAGTTAACATCTAATGGCCACGCCTCAGGCGAGTCAGTGAACTGGATCCTTATTATAACCTGGGAGGTTGCTTTTTTTTCAAAGTGTTCCTTCTTAAGCTGCAATTAACTTCCTAGGTGGTCCGGGAGGATTACTGGCTGCCAGTAAGGTGTAAATGGTGCCACTGAACCATCCAACTTTGCCCTGTATAAATTTAGGTGCCCTGGACAGGAAAGATAAAAATCCAATCCCCTTTGAAAACAGAAGGCAAAGACCATCCTACAACTCTGCTGGTCGTTGAAAGTGCTTTAAATGATAAAATGATGACAGATACTTGCCAGGTCCTCCGAAAGTTCCGAAAGCAACTTGGTAGCCAGGAAGGAGCGTGTGGGGAGGGGCGGGGAGACCTGGGCCAGAAAGTTCTAGAGCGAGTCTCGCTGTCCCTCCGTGCGGTTTTGGGCAGGCCTCTGTTTCTCCTTTCCGATCCTTTCGGAACCCAGGAGGGGTGAAAGCAACTTCCCGAACAGCTGGCTGGCCCCATCCGCGTCGCGGGGGCAGCTGGCTGGACTGGGCTTTGGTTCGGGATTAAGAGAACTACTGTTTTGTTCTCTCCTCTTCCTCCTCCTCTGCTTGCAGCGGAAAGCTTCAAGGAGACGCAGATGGTGAGGATTAAAGAGGAGCCCATGGAGGTTGACATCCAGGACGCATACGTCTCCGTCTCACCCAGCCGGAATGTTGGCTACAGCACTTTAATCGGGCGAGAGAAAGCCGAGCCCCTCCAGAAGGTGCCAGAGGGCAGAATGCCTCCGGAGAGAAACCTCTTCAGCCAGGACATCTCAGTGAAGATGGCCTCGGAGCTGCTCTTCCAGCTGTCAGGTACGCCTTGCAGCCGGGAGGGAAAAACACCCAGACCCTCGCCCCCGCCCTGGGCTGGATAGGATTCGGGGACACGGAACATCTGTTTGGTTCCCGAAACCTATCGGCTGTCACTCAAACTCACAGCTAATCGAATGTGATCAACACCGGCCCGTACTTGCTTTAATAACTCGTTCAGACTCATTGGAAATTGAAAACTCTATTAAGGCGGCAAATGATCCTGCAGACAGGCTAAACGTCTCACCCCTAATTTTATTTGGGAGGTTGATCTGATTAACCGTGTGTTGTGTGGGTGGGTGCCCCTCCCCCTCCTCCTCTCCCTAATGTGCCAAAGATAAACTTCCATTCCAGCCAACAGTCACTTAATTACGGTGAGTTCCAAATTAGTGTGGGCTGACTGAAAAAGATCTTACCGTTATCTTATTTCGAAAATTGTTTCTGGTTTGGGGGCCCTACCCGGTAGAGCTCAGGGATCATGCTAGGGGACCATCGAGGATGCCCGGGATCAAACCTGGGTTGGCTGCATGCAAGTAAGTGGCCTGCCCCCTCTCAACTTTTTTTTTAAGAAAGAGGGAGAAGCCAACAGTGAAAATATGAAGACTCTGGCAATACCAACCTGGTAGAACATTTTCTGTCGTGTTCAACCAAAGCTTTTCCAACTCTTTTCCGCTTCAAGTCCTTGGAATACAGATGCACAGCAAGATTACCAGCACGGTGAAGAGATCTGGTGATCACGTTGAGAATCTAGCCCCTGAGACATCAACTCTTTCAGACTGCACACTGCCAGCCTTGAATAAATCGTTCTTGCAGTCTCCGTGAGACCGTGATTGAGACGGAGGATAGTTACGCAGGGAAGATTCCGATTTATAAAGAAATGCCTGTCCCCAAGCATCACCCTACAGATTGGAACACATACATCAGTCAAGTCTAATACCCATATTTGATAAACAGTTTTGTTATGGGTAACAGCTTTTAAATATACACTGGTGTCGTTCCCCCCTCCCCCCAAGAAAAACACCAGGGAAGAGAAAAGAAATTGTTGCCACTGATCTTCCTGTTGGCCCAACGACCCGCCCGCTGCCCTGAAACGCCCAGTCGGGGCTGACAGGGACAACCTCCAGGCTCTCAAACAAGGGCTGCATTTGTGCAAAGCCCTCTGAGAGCAGAAAGAGTTTGTGCAGCAAATGTCATCGGACACACTGGTCTCGGCGGTCGCCAGAAAGCTCCCAAAACGTGTGCAAGATGCTTTTTGATTTGTTTTTTTGTTTGTTTGTTTGTCTTACAGGCAGAATGCATATCTAAAAAATGCTATAAGTCGGAGGGTGATTTAGCCTGAGAATTTGCAAAGGCAAGGCTAGCGTGTTTCTTTCCAGAAAGTCAGTCTCCCAGGACACTATCGGGAACTGCTATCAGCCCAGAACTCTGTCTGAGCTCTCCAGGGCTCTGTTCCTGCCAGGGTGACCTCAGGCAAGTCATTTAGCCCCCATTTCCTGCTCTCTGAGAGCAGACAGCTGTGAATCCAAAAACCCAACTTCCGAGTCACTGGGAAGAAGAGGGACAGCGTCTCAAGCCTATAGGCGGAGGAACGGTCCAGGCACACCTGCGGCAGATATGGCAAATCTTTATTTAAATTTTATACACGTGCACGTGCGCACATGCGTGTGTGTACACACACACACACACACACTCAGAGCTCTGTCCTTCAAAGAAACCTTTGAGAGCAGAGACAGCCAGCCAGAGCCGCATGTATGAACTGGGTAGGGAAGGCCTGACTGTCCAGGAGCACTCATGTTCTTGGAAGCTAATTAGGTACCTCCTGACAGCTGGTGGATGCAGACCTCAAGGCGGAGCAAGGGAGGGTCTACTGCTATGACCCTTTTCTGTCCCGGTGACACTTTTCGGTCCCGGTGACATTTAGCAGCATCAGCACCTGGGATCGGTGGCCCCCAGAGGTCTGCGGCTGTTTTTATATCGCTTTCACACAAAGGGGCCTCCCGATACCCAATGCTTAAAGGTTGTCATCCAAGTCAGCAGCGGAACACTTGCAGCCGCTGCAGTTTTCATGCTGAATCAGAGGAAAGCGGAAATTTTCCCGCCAGGGGAGAGGGAGAGGAGGAGAAACGGTCACCACGCCCCACTTTCTGCGTGGGCCCGCACTTAGCCAGGCCTGAGGAAAGTCAAGACAGACCCTCGGAGTGGGTGAGGCGCTTCCCTGGGATTGGTTGGTCCTGAAACTTCTCTCTGGAAGCCGCGGAGATACTTTCGATAATGGTCTTTCCCGACCGGAGAGGCGAGGTGGGGAGATTTGCAAAAGAGAAACGAGTCCTGCGAAATGTGAGAGCAAGAGGAAGAGGGCGCGCTGGCCTCCCACACCTAAACTCCAGCGCCCCTGACGCCTTTCACTCTTTCTCCTTCTAGAAAAAGTGAGCAAAGAACACAATCACACGAAAGAAAACACCATCCAGACCACTACCAGGTAGGCGGCATTTTTGGGGAACTGGGGACCGGGGTGGCTGTGTGGGCCCTCGGGCCAATCTCTCTCCCTCTGGGCTCAGAGGCGTCTCTGTCTTCTCCTCTTGTACTTTGGTCCATGAGAACAATCCAGAGAGCAAAGTTGTGGGGGGTGGGGGGGGAGGCGGAGGGCACCAGGGTTTATTATAGTTGTATTTATTGGGCATCAATTTGCTCGAGCGGGCCCAGTAACGTCTCCATTGTGAGACTTGTTGTTACTGTGCTTGGCATATCGAATACGTCATGGGGAGCTTGCCAGGCTTTGCCGTGTGGGCAAGATACTCTCGGTAGCTTGCTGGGCTCTCCGAGAGGGGCGGAAGAATCGAACCCGGCTCGGCCAGGCTGGCTGCGCACAAGGTAAACGCCCTACCGCTGTGCTATTGCTCCAGCCCATGGGTTACTGGCCTTTATGAAGTAGTTACTGTTAAGGTTCCTCTTCGCAGAAGATTCTGGGCTGGAGGGTTTGCATGGGCTGTTGGAATCTGTAGCTGGAATGTGTGTGTGGATCTCAGGAACGGCTCACTCAGTGGGTGCCGCGGGTTTCTTACTACAAATGTACTCCTGGATGCTTTGACCTGTGGGTGAAATCCGTAGCCCTGAATGTTCCAGTGTCGATACCTTACAGCAGCCCTAGGAGGGCAGAAACAGACCCTTGGCCTAGGATTGTAAAACTTACTAACAGTGGGAGGATGGACTAGAGATGAGAGAGAGTTGACATGAGGACAGGGCGGGGCGTCAGGGGCACTTGGGTGTGGTGGGGGAGGGGCGGTGCCATTACTTTGCACATCGAAGCTATAAAGTTTAACACTGTGGTAACCTAAAAAAATATTTTTTTTAAAAAAACTAAGCATGGGCTGGAGCAATAGCACAGCGGGTAGGGCATTTGCCTTGCACGCGGCCGACCCGGGTTTAATTCCCAGCATCCCATATGGTCCCCTGAGCACCACCAAGCGTAATTCCTGAGCGCAGAGCCAGGAGTAACCCCTGTGCATTGCTGGGTGTGACCCAAAAAGCAAAAATAAATAAATAAAATAAAAAACTAAGCAGAGGAATCCTCAGAGATCAGAGTTCATGCAGTGCTGAAAGAAATTTCAGGTCGCAGTGGATATGGCGGCTCTCTGGACAGGCAGTGAGGATACAGCTCAGGGTGGAGCTCATACAAAGTTTCACCCCGGCAGGAAAATTGGTAACCACGCACAGTTGTAGCAAGGAGCTTCCATGGGTCCGAGGCAGTTTTTTGGAGGGTAGCAGATGGCCGGAAGGGGGGTCGCGGGGCACCTGCCCTCCCACCTACCATGTGGAGGGGCACCAGACAGGCAGAGCAGCCACTCACCCAGCCTGAGACCACCCTCGCCGAGATGGGTGTCGAAAACGGTAGCACAGCCCCCACTCTGCCAGCAGACCACTGTCCCATTTTAGCTAGCCCAAGAGGATGGCTTTTTTGGGGGGGGGATCACACCCAGCGATGCACAGGAGTTACTCCTGGTTCATGCACTCAGGAATCACTCCTGGAGGTGCTCAGGGGACCATATGGGATGCTGGAAATCGAACCTGGGTCACCGGCGTGCAAGGCAAGCGCCCTACCCACTGTGCTATTGCTCCAGCCCCCAAGAGGAAGGCTTTGAGGATGAACACAAGTGGAAAAGCAAGCAGGTCACTCCCTATATTGCAAACTGTAACACCCAAAAGGAGAGAGAGAGTAAAAGGGAATGTGCCTGCCACAAGGGCTGGGGGTTGGGGGGCTGGGGGGGAGGATGATGGGAGGTGGGAGGGATACTGGGAACATTGATGGTGGAGAACGGGCACCGGTGAAGGGATGGGTACTCGACCATTGTATGACTGAAACGTAATTACGAAAGTTTGTAAGTCTGTAACTGTATCTCACAGTGATTCATTAAAATATATATATACTGCCTAGCACTGTCTAGCACTGTCCTCCCGTTGTTCATCGATTTGCTCAAGCGGGCCCGGTAACATCTCCATTGTGAGACTTGTTACTGTGTTTGGCATATCAAATACGTCTTGGGGAGCTTGCCAGGGTTTGCCGTGTGGGCGGGATACTCTCGGTAGCTTGCCGGGCTCTCCGAGAGGGACGGAGGAATTGAACTCAGGTCGACCGGGTCGGCCATTGCAAGGCAAACACCTTACCCGCTGTGCTATCACTCCAGCCCATATATATACAAAAAGAAAAGAAAAGCAAGCAGGACCCGCCCATTACCCAGAAGCCTTCCAGCCAAGGCACTCTGCTTTCCTGAGCAGCATCTTGCTTTGGAAAGAAGTTCATTCATTCATTCATTCATTCATTCTGATTCTTGCCAACAAAGACCTCTTGGATGGGCTCTGCGTTGACCAGGGATGGGCAAAGGCACCCTGCTCCTCTGAATCCCATTTGGGGTCCCATGGATCAAATATCAAACAATACTCGAGACAGAACCCATTTGGACCATTTGGAAGAGTTGTGTCATGTCTGGGGAGGGAAGCCCGTGGAACTGAGGCCTACAGCGGATGACTCTGTCTCCATGGAGAATCACAGGGAGAAAACCAGGTCCTGTGGACGGTGCTGGCCAGGGGAGGGGAGGGACTCAGCTAGGAGGTAGTGAAGCTGAGAGAAAAGGCAGCTTCTTAAAGAGTCACCAGTGGGTACCCAGAAGCAGAGTCTGAGGGCAGGGGGCCCTGTGGAGGAGGTTATTTGGGGGGTGCTCCTGGATGAGATGGAAGTGGGAAGGAACTTGGTTGTGACTCGGTTCTGCAAGGGAGGCAGCTTGGACTTTCCTGTCACTCACTCATGGGCTCCAGTAGCAGGGGAGGCCTCCAGGGTGAACGGGTACCCAGGGGCTGGAGTTTCTCACTCAACAACCAACAACTCCTGCAGCAACTCAAGCGGGGCACAGCTACGGAAAGGGGGACCAACCAGGGTCCCGCCCCCAGCGTCTCCTGTGGTGTCTGCCTGGCTCTGTATTTTGGTGGGGGGGGGGGGGGCGTGATCATACCTGGTGGTGTTCAGGACTCACTCCTGGCCCTGCATTCAGAGATGACTCCTGGCAGTTTCAGGGAACCCTGTGTTAGGCTGGAGATTGAACCGGGGTCGACTACATGTGAGGCAGGTGCCCTACCCACTGTGCTCTCTCTCCAGCCCTTCATGGGCTCTTTAAGCTGATCTAAGAGCATCGGTGTTCAGGGACCAGATGCTGCCAGGCTAATTTGTGCTAGTCAAGGCTTCCCTGGGTAGAGATAAGGAAAGATTTGAACTCACCCTAAGTCAGTGACATGGGCCTCATCGTCTTATTTGCCTTGGCTAGAACTAGAGTGTAATTATAGGAAACAGAGGGAAGGGAAAAAAAAAAAAGTTGGGCCGTTTGCTAAAAGTGAAACCAGTGAACACAGTTATCTTTTATTTAGAATTTATATGTGTGTATATATATATATGTACGTATGTTAACTGACAAGGAGAGATGATAATAGAAAATAATTTCAATATACTGTCATGCTGATTTTTCCCCTTATAAACATCTTCAAGTGTCATTCTCAAAATATTCTCAAAACTGCAGCTACAATTCTTTTAATAAATTTTTTATTAAAGCAAAAAAAAAAAAAGTGAAACCAGCAGTGGACCAGAGAGATGGTCCAGGGAATAAGGCACCCGAACCCGGTTCTCTCCCCTCCCGCGTGTCATCCCCCAAGCAGCACAGGAGTGGTCCCTGAGCACTGCTGGGTGGGCCTTCCAGCCCCCAGAAAACAGAAGCAATCCTTAAGCTCTTCTCCGCTGGGAGATTCTGAGCAAGAAAGGAACCAAACCCGGTGTGTGGCCCCAAGCAAAGGCAGTGCAGCTCTCTCTGAGCCCATTATGACCCGGTTCCGAGGGGCTGGCCCAGAGCCCATGTGTTACTGTCCCTAGTCCTTGAGGGCTTTACTGGTCTTTCTTTGGGTCACCACTTGCTCACTTCCGTAGGCAGTTAGTTCCCTCTCGCCTTCCCACCTCCCTGTTCTCCCCGGGATCCTCTTCAAACCTGAGCTCATTCCTTGCAGGGCTGGGAAGATGTACCTTCCCACGCTCTGTTCCCTGGTGACTCCAGCTGTGTTTCCAGCTTCACGGCTGTTGCTTTGGTTGGGGGGGGGCTACTCCCAGCACAGTGCTCGGGCGACCAGGGAGTGCCCGGCTTGGAACCCAGGTCTCAAAGCATGCGTGCTGGCCCTGCAAGCCACCTCCTGGCCCTCCTATTTTAGAAAGGCCTCAGGTTCTACCCACGAGGTCAGCTGTGGGTCTTCTTTCACCTTCAATTTGATACTTTCTGAAAGATTTCCACTGTGCCTCCAGATCTCTAAGTTAGTTGTCCCTGGGATGGATGGTTGGTTACCCAGTTTCAACTCAAACGTCCAGCTGAGGAGCTGGAGAGAGGGGACGGTGGGCGGGCAAGGTGTTTGCCTTGCACACAGCCAACTCCAGTTCAAATTCCAGCCCCCAGTATGGTCTCCCGAGTGCAGAGCCAGGACTGGGCCTCGAGCTACACTGGGTGTATCCCCAAAAATAGACAGTGGGTAGGGCGTTTTGCCTTGCACGCGCGGCCGTCCTGGGTTTGATACCCAGCATCCCATATGGTCCCCTGAGCACCACCAGGAGTGGTTCCTGAGTGCATGAGCCAGGAGTCACCCCTGTGCATCACTGGGTGTGACCCAAAAAGCAAAAACAAACAAACAAACAAACAACAGAACCACCACCACCAGCAGCATCAAACGTACAGTCGCTTTCTCAGATATGAGGGACTGTTCCAAACAGCGGCCCTGTTCGAGTGGCAGGGGTCTCCTTTGGGAGGGGAGGCTTTGCAGTGCCTGCTGTGGGCACACCCCGAGCCTCTGCTGCCCGGGGTTGCACTCTCACGCCCACCCGTGGGCACCCCCCGCCCCTCCCATGGCTCTTCAGCTCACGGTCTTGACTCTCGTTCCAAAGGCAAGACCCACGGGAAATGG